CTTGGATATTATCCATCGTCTAGTAAATATAAAACGTAAAACGACGTTTCGGAGATGGGACTCTATCTCCGTCTTCAGGTTCTGAAGAGTCATTTGAATAAAAATTTCCTTGGCAGTAAGCTACACTTAAACGTCAGCATCCACCACACTCCAGGGACCTTCCCCTCAGAAGACAAAAATTTTCAATAATTGATTTGTATGACAATTCAGAATTTTTGTCGGAGCACTTATAAAACAAGTCGAACTGTTAGATACTCCATTTTTAAATCTTTGACACTGATGTTTTATTGGTGATTCAATATCATGTTATCAAAATTAAAATGTATAAAAGGTTTATTAAAATAATTTAAATGTTGAAGTATTAAACTACTAAATATTAAAAACTGAAACAGAATGATTCTCTTTAATTCAATAAATTCATTTACTTCTCTTAATACCAAAATCAATACTTTTTATACAGACAGAAATTTACGAAAAAGCTATGTTATGTTTCAGTTTCAAGTTAAAATAAATATCTGACCAGTAAAAATCGAAATTAAATTCGGTAATGCCTTTTAGTAAAGCTCCCAACATCAACGATTATAGAAACCCATTGGCTAATGTCGGAGTTGAAACATATTGAAGGGCTTATTACAGCCGCATTACGCGTTCATTTTATGTGCATCGTTAATCACAGTTCCATCCACTCTGTACTTACAACGACCCGTTGTGACGATGTAACTTTTGCTAATTTGTTTCCATAAATTTTTGTGTAAGAACCAAATAATATGTAGGTCTCTTATATCATCGTTTCCCTAAATAAATAATATAAAAATTAATTAATTAATTAATAAAACTGGAAACGTGTTTTCTTTACAGTGGCCTCAACTAAGACTCCAAAGATGTTCTTTACGTCACACCCAGAGCGATGACGTAATCAAGGCAACAAAGCAAGTCTAAGACACTCAGAGGCAGAAATGTTATCCGAGATCATTTGTTCTAACAATGTAATCAAAGGTAATTGTTATAGAAATCTGATATAGATTATAGTTCGATTCCCGGCGGTGCCCGAATTTATAACTTGTGTTGGGCAAGGCCGTGGTCTAGGCAACACGGAGTTTTCCTCCGTGGCATCCCAACAATTACTCCATTCACACACAGAAGAAGGCAATGGCAAACCACTTCTGGATCATCTGCCAAGAACGTATATGAACAGGTCCCAGTCCGAGAAAAGGATGGAAGGATCCTGTTCATATGGACCTGTCGTCTCACAGAACACTAAATAAATAAATAAATACAATGAAAGACGGGACAGACAGACGTAGACGAATCCATAAGAAGTTTTCCGTACAGAACACCTAAAATACACTAAAATAAAACCAATAGTGGGTTTAAAAATTGGCTTCATCTGGAGACTGTTTTTCGTACGTTTAACTTTTCAGAAGAAAGTATAGGCTACCTCTTACGTAACCTAGATAAGAATAAAATGCTAATATTTCAAAAGAATAAAAAGATAGGCTTCTCCTTTGTCACCAAAACCTGCCACGTTCTCTTAATATTGTACAAACTGTAGCCACGTTCATGGGCGAACGAAAGTACAGTGTAATACAGGCATATCGGAAAGAATCAACTTACCTCTGGCCTCTCAGTCTCGTTCATATTACACTGATATTACTTCACATAAGACATTTCTAAAGCACACAGCATAAAACCTCACGAAAATATACGTATATTTCCACACACACAGTAACTTTTGTGGCCACAAACAACGAATTTGTAAGACAAAGAAACTTTCCACTCGCGTATGCAAGCACAACATCGCTCTCCGATGTGCATTTGTCAACCGATAATC